ACTATACTAACTCTTACATGACATTAACATTACTTTCTAACCATTACTTCAGCCCTGCTAGGAAAGCAGTATTATACCATTTTACAGCCAAGAAAACTGAGACTCAGAATTTAAGTAACTTGTACAGTCACACAAGTAGCAAATGCTGCATCAGGGACTTGAACCTGGTCTGCCTGGCTCCTGCCTTTCTCTCTGTGTCTCTCTTTTTTTTTTTTTTAACGTCTTTATTGGGGTATAATTGCTTTACAATGGTGTGTTAGTTTCTGCTTTATAACAAAGTGAATCAGTCATACATATACATATGTTCCCATATCTCTTCCCTCTTGCGTCTCCCTCCCTCCCACCCTCCCTATCCCACCCCTCTAGGTGGTCACAAAGCACCGAGCTGATCTCCCTGTGCTATGCGGCTGCTTCCCACTAGCTATCTACCTTACGTTTGGTAGTGTATATATGTCCATGCCTCTCTCTCGCTTTGTCACAGCTCACCCTGTGTCTCTTAAAGGGAAAGAAAAGCAAAGAGGCCCTAGGACTGATAGGACTGACAGCTGGTGACAAACCTGTGACCAGAGCTCCAGTGTCTTAACCCCCCAGCAGATCTTTTCCCGTCAGAGGCCCAGGGTTTTCCTTTTAGCCTCTGGCTTGTGGATTGGCCGTCCCTTGCATATGCTGTTCCTAGAATTGATGGTCACGTGGAGGCCTTCAGCCCAGAGTGGTCAGGATTCCCAGACTCTGCAGCATCTGCCACCCTTTGGCCAGAATTCACATATAGAAAGTTATTTCCTTTTTTAGCCAGTAAGTGTTCTTGGCTGCGGCCGTGTCGACTGCCGGGCTCTTGGCTGGCCGGACAGCAGGCTCTGGTGTTCCCCTGATGTCAGATCGTAACAACAGCAACGGGAACAGAAAGAGTTAGGTGGTGGGACTCGTGGTTCCCAGGAAGAGTGGGAATCGAACCTTGCTTCCATCACCCTCTAGTTGTGTGACCTCAGGCAAGTAACATAACCTCTCAGTTTCCTCTACATCTGAAAAAAGGAGAATGTTTACTCATGGGGATTGAACAATGTGTGAGTAAGTGGAAACATCTAGAACAGTAATTGGCACATAGTAGACACTCAATAATGTTAGTTCCTTGTTTTCTTTTCTGCCGTTTCCAGTAAAAACTCCTCTCAAACATGACCCAACTAGTCAACTTGATGCAGCATTTGACATGCAGCAGGCCGGTTAGAGGGACACAGCAAGGACGCCCTATGTGCCACCAAGTGGGGGAGGGTGACTATCAGAGGTGGGGAAAACATGGGCAACGGGAAGGATATTAATTTAACTCTAAATCAGTTATTTCACTAGGTGGAAAGAAGAGAGGCGGGGTGGAGAGGAAGGGAGGTGTAGAAACCCACTCCAATCAGGTCCCTTGTGTTCTCGTAATTGGTCGAGCCTGTCCTGCCCCTGAACTTTTCTTTAACTCGAGCTTTGGGGCCTAGAGATGGACTCCACATGAGTCCATATTATAAAATATGTGCTTCATATAATTCCCTCCTTCTGAGGAGCTGCAGCACTTTGGAATCTGATCACCAATCCAAAGGCATGTCCACAAGTGTAGGTTTGAAGCTAGCTCAGTTCTACTTGAAAGAGAAATAGGAGGTTGTCTACTCTGTGATCTGAGGAGAAGAGGCATCCTGACCCCTAAACACACCTGTCCTCTCCTGAAGTCCTGAATCATGAAGATGCCAGGTTGGATTAAGATTCTCTAAGTCCTCTGTGGACAAAAGAGCCTCAGAAGAGAGGCTCTTTCTGGTTCCAGCTATTTCTTTGTGACTCTAGTCAAGACATTCCCCCTCCCTGAGCCTGAGTTCACTCATGGGTAAAACTAAGTGGTTGAGCTGGATGGTTGCTAAGGCCTTTCCAGCTCTAAGTTAGAACATCTGGGGAACATGTGTGACTCGCCCAATTGCGATGGTGTGGCAAATTAGTGGCAAAGTGACAAAGCCAAGAGGCGAATCCAGATATTCTGGCTCTCAACTTAGAGGTCAGCAAAAGTCGACCCAGAAAAAAAATCTGTGGTCATAAAAACCAAGCAGTACCTTCTCAGAATTTCATGTCATGGTGAGCCTTCACTGTGGAAAGGCCTTTACATCAAATGAGTCTCAATTCAAAGAGACTTGGACTGAGCACCAGGTGACCTGGATTCCACTCTATTGTTCTGTTATTCATTGAGCATTTACTATGGGGTAGCCATTTAAAATACATTATTTTATTTAATCTTCATAAAACCTTACAAGGAAATTATTTATTATTAACCTCTTTGACAGATGAAGAAACTGAGGATCGGAGACATTAAATAATTTTCCCAAGGTTTACACAGCTGAAATTTTAACCCAAATGTGATTCCAAATGCCTAGGCCCTTCCTTCTGCCTTACCCCTGAATCAGATAAACTCTAAGATGCCTCTGTGTTATTTCAGTACCTCTGATTCTGAGACCTCCTGACTCCCTTTCCTTATGAAGGTGAGTGGATTATTGAAGGCTGAATTTTTCTTCCCCATGAGTTGCTAAAATGTCAGAAACAATTGATTCACGAAGTGGCATAAAGTGGTCATTTGCCAGGAGCCAGCAGCTTCTGACTGTAGAAAGGAAGTCACCTTCCTTCCTAGGAGAACTGAAGCTTTCCCGGGAAAGTGGGCATCTCTCCCCTTCAGTCAGTTCAATCCTGGAGCCCAGAGTGGAGCCAGTTCATACAGAGAGTTGCTGGACTCCCCGGTGGGGGAGTTCTTTCCTGGGACGGAAGGCAGAGCCTGGGCCTTGGGTCTCCCTGGCCCTAAGGACTGCAGGTCTTCTAGTTCCTGTCCTGATCGATCCACACAGACAGGCTCCCTGCCCTGTGTTAACTGGCTGGGCCCAGAGCGGGGATCAGTCAGGACCCAAGAGGCCAGGCTGCCCTGCGGTAGCCCGGCTGGCTGCGAGAGCCCAGGACCCTCCACGGCATGTGCCCCCCACCAGCCGGCGGAGATGAGCAGGAGCAGGTGGGCAGGTGGTGTCACTGCCAGGAAGCAGGATTACAGAGATGCTTCCATGCAGGAAGCAGGGAGGTTTGGGGAGAAATGGAGGCTCAGAAAACACAGCCAAGGATGGAAGGCAGAAGAGCCCTAGGTGTGCGTGAACAGAGCGGGATGTTCTCCCAACTCAACTGGCCCTGACTCACTGTGTCGTCTTCAACAAGTCACTTGCCTTTTCTAGGCCTTGTTTTCCTTATTTGTCAAAGAAGAAGTTGACTGGCAATCTAGGAGACCTCTTCCGGTTCTAATGGCCTAGGACTTTAGACCAGTACCTGGCAGGGGGACAGGAGTGAGGCAGTTAGGAGACAAGAACAATAACCAGTCTCAACAGCCCAGCAAGAACATCTCTGGGGTTCCAAGCCAGCGGCCAAGCTGGGCAACACAGTTGCGTTACTGCCGTGGCTCTCTGAACTTCACGCGTCTCGGGGAGGGGATGCCCTGAGGGTGCCGGTTTGGAAACCAGGAAACACACGTCCCGGTACTGCCTGCCGTATGCCCAGTGGTCACTGGAGCTGCTCTACAGCTGCTGAGTGAGGAAAAGGCTTGGAGGATCAGCGAGGGGAGAAGGCTCCGGACAGCAATGCCACCGCAGGGAACCTGGCCGGAGGGTGGAGAGAGCTGTCCCACGAGAACAGGGTCTGGGCTGGGCTGTGACTCCAGGATTAGTGGGTGGAAGAGATGGCGACCACTTGGCCTGATGATGTGAAAGTTAAGCTAGGATGCTTCTAAAGACCAGCTTGTGTCCCCAGCCGTGAAGCCACCACCCCAGGCAGATGGGGGTGGCCTTGGTTTCTTCTCTGTTCAGTGTCACTGGCTTCCTCCCCGGCCTCCGACCCCCTGCCCAGCGCTCCCCACACTGCCCTTCCTTCTCTTAGGCCAGTCGGGCCCGCTGTGCCAGAGCTGTGCTCAGGAGACAGCCCAGTGAGATGCTGACGGGTCAGAACCAAGAACTCCTCCATTATGACAGGATACTGAGAGAGGGGGGACGAAGGAAAAAGTGAACAAAGGCACAGTAAGGATGTAAACTCCTGTGTCAGCCTCCCCTTTTGTAGTGGTTCTGAGGTGCATTTGAGCTAAGGAATCTCAGCCTTGGACAGTGTTACTGCTGAAGGGAACCAGAGGGATCCTGCTACTTCAAACCTTTCATTTTACAGATGAGGAAACTGAGGCCCAGAAGGGGGAACTGTCTGGCCTAAGGTCACACAGCCCCTCAGTGCACCAGAGCCCAGGTCTCTTGGGCCCTGAGTCCAGGCTCCTTTACCACATGCTCGGAAGGGAGATCAAGGGGCTGTCAGGAACCTTCCTGCCCTGCGCCCAGCAGGAAAGGAGACCTTGCGGTGGGCACCTCTCCCCGGCTTCCTCTCCGGATCTCACCAGCCTCTTTCCTCCAACAGCAAGTGACCAGATTGCTCACAATGGACAGCGGGGACATGATACTCCATAGGAAACTAAGCAGGGAATATTTTTAAACCATCCAACATGCCCTGGGGGGGGAAAAATCAAAACACTTTCCTAGATGCTGTGGAAAGCATTTCAAAAAGAATTCCAAGCCTAGAGGAAGCATGGTAAAACAGCGATGGCTTGGGTTTTTAAAGGGCCAATGCCAATCTTCACAAAAGTGCCTGGAAATGACCTGGTGTCCTGCTTGTAAGATGCCCCTGGAGCACGGCGCATCTGTGAGAGGTAGATGGACGGCAAAGGCCCTCCGCTTGCATTTCTACAGCTCCTTCTAAATTGAGTAAGTGATTTATCTGCTGCTTCATAAGCTGTTCTCTTTAATATACCCAAAGCTCACCATCACAGGGACTGCTGAGAGGGGCAGGGAGGAAACCCACAGGTGCAGAGAGAGAGTTTTGCTGTGATCCAGCAACAAAGCTGGAGATTCAAGGCTCTCTCTCTGCCTCTCTCCCATCAACTGGTAGTTTTATCTCTTAAAGTTCAAGTTTCCCCTTACCTTCCTCTTTTCCTCCTGTCTGGAATTCCAGTTGGCTTCTTGGTTCTCTGGCCGCCTCTCCCCCGCTGCCCACTCTTCCTTGCTCTCCAGCCTGTCGGTCGTTCCTCTCCCACCCTCTTTTTAATCGCTATCTGTCACCCTCCCTCCGCCCACTTCTTCCTACTCTTTCTCTCTCCTCCCCCTTCCCCCTCGAGATCCCTCCCTCCCCTCTCTCTCTTGTGCTCCTAGAATCTTTGCTCATTTAATGAGTTTTCTCCCGTCTACCTCCTTGCAGCCTCTCCTCGCCGCGTTCTCCCCAGAAGGAGACTGAGTCCTCCTCCTCCCCCCCCTGCCCTGCCCCTGTCACCGTCACCACAGTCCTCGCGCTGGCCCCCTCTCCCTCCGGCTGGTGGTGCGCTGCCTCTCTAGTCTTTGCCTGCTCAACCTCTGCCGGGCCACTTTCCTAGGGCGTCAGCGGGAAAGCTGGCACTACCCTGGAGATCCCTTTTCCCCATCCTTTTCCTGTCATCAGAAAAAAAGAGTGCTCATTCCCAGAGCGGGTCTTTTGGGAAACCTCTACTATGCCCACACGAGTGAGCCGAGATTCACAAGTCACAAACACCCACACCCAGAACAGACACCAGAGGTAACCTGAAAGCTCAAAGGGGCAGGGAGAGGGCATCTCCTCTGGCCAGGACTCCTTTCTCCTTCTCCTCTAATGAAAAGAGAGTGCTTTCTATGTGGCAGGCACTGGGCTAGGGGTGAGAGGGATATGGATAGAGATCTAGATATAATATTTTTATTTCACTTAATCATTCCGATGTCCAGTTCTCAAGGTAGACAGTTCTACATTTCACATTTGAGGAAACTGAGGTTCAGAGAAATCATGATCGTGGTGACCCAGTTAGTAAATGGGAGAGTCCGGATTAGAAGTTTTAGCCAATGCCAAAAGTCACCTCTTTGCTCTTTCCACAAAAGCATACAGGCCTCCCAGCTGGAACTGAGCTGACGGAAGTAAGGCTGTCTCTTATTAAATCACATGTCACAGGTGGGCAAATTTGGAAACCGTGAGGCATCTCTAACCTCAAGCTCCCCTCATTCTCAACTACTTTCCTCAACTCCTCAACTTACATGCTTAGCCATGGACCCAGTTGGACCGTGATAAAAGTCAACGACAGAGGTGACTACGAGTGGACTGAAATCAGACAAACCAATGACCAAGAGCCCACAGATTGTGAGAGCTAGAAGAAAACCCCAGAGATCATCTGGGACAGCCAGGAAAACTGAGGCCCGAAGACTCAAGGCCGTTCGTCAATGTCACACATAGTACATGGCAGAGGCAGGACCAGAACCCAGATCCATTCCTTTGCTCCACATCATCACGTTCACATATATTCACAAATATTCCAACAGTTTGCAAAACTCTGTTTCTTTAGTGGGTGATATTTTTCATGGGTGAATGAGCTTAGGATCAGCAAGAGGGGAGAGAACACGGGGCCAAATTTCCTGTGTCTCGGGAGACAGCAGCCCTGCTGAAAACAAACTCAAGATTCTTGATTCCTTAGCCAGAGTTTCCCCACCTCTTTTCCTATGTAGCTTCAGAGCAGGTGCTGGGGCCAGACTGTCTGGGTTTGAATCCTGTCTCTACCACTTACCAGCTATGTAACAGTGGGCAAGTTAGCATAAACTCTATGCCTCTTAGTTCCCTCAACTGTAAATTAGGGATAATAATAACTACCTCCTAGGTCATCATGAGGACTAATGCAGATGTGTAAGACACCTGTCTGGTACATGGTAAGTGTTGTGGATGTGACTGCAAAATACAATACAATACAATACAATACAATGCAATGCAATGCAATGCAATACAATACAATGCAATACAATACAATGCAATACAATGCAATGCAATACAATGTAATGCCTGCCTCCTCCTGCCTGTACTTCCCATGGCTGGTGCAAACTCCTGGGATGGAATTCAACATGTGAAACATAGGGAGCCCTGGTGATATCAAGTTTCCTCTCCAAAGCAGAGATTTTCTCCACACTATGGCTTTGTCCTTACATCTCAGTCACTCGAAAAGGCTGTGGGTTCCTGGGAATATCTTATTATCTTCAGCCAGGAGATGGCCAGTTAAAGAACCCATAAGTCTCATTTGAAGGATAATCTGAGAGTGGGGAAGTTTTAGTGGAGTATTAACTCCTAGATCATCAGCTGTCAAAGGAGGGTCCAGCTGAGGGCATGGCTGAAGGTGAAGAGAGGATGCCATTTGCCTCTGAGTGCCCAGAAGGGAAGAATTGCCGAGATGTAGGTACACCCAAGATCCTGGAGCAAGTGCAGGGCACAGAAAATAAATGCTTCCACTCTGCTTGGCAGGTAGAGAATAAGACAGTGAAGAAACTGGATGGGTTGCTAGAGGTGATCCAGGAGGTCCAAGTAAGTGCTGAGAGAAGACTGAGTTCTTGAACTCAGATCATCCCAGCTCAACGAAGTCGAGCAGCCCTCCAGCCAGGTACTCTGCTCAAGATGGCATCTAGGACAGAGTGTATTTGATGGCCCAAAGCTAAGCCGCTTTGGCAAGGTCTTCAGAACTCTGGTTTATTCCTCACCATAAGGCCTCTGACAAAAGTTAGGAAACTTTTGTCATTTGGGCTATAGATCCAAGGTGATTGTCTAAAGGGGCTGAATCCGGCTATCACCACATATTAAGAAGGATGCCGTGAGCGGATGCCCGATGCCCCGGAAAAGAAGGTGTAGGCAAAGAGCCAGGGGTGGGCACGGAGGTTCTGTCATGTCCTCCCCGTCATTCTCACGTTCAGCTTAAGGAAGGGTCTTAGGGGTGCCAAGGTCTGTGTTCCACTCAAAACATATGGAGAACTCAGAGGATTTAGAGAGAAAGCCAAAATCTGGTCAAAGAATACCTGTAAGGAAAGCTGTAGAAGTGGGATGGCAAAATGGTCTTCATTCTACATTCACCATGTGCTAGGCTTTGTTCTAGGCACACTTCACATTATTGTACTTGGAGAGGAAAAGACAGAAAGATGACCTTCTAAAGCTCACCTGAACCATCCATCAGGGTCTCCTGGATAAGAATTCATTGGCCACTCCTATGGGCCCAGCCTATGCTAAGTGGGAGGCAAGACCATCCCTTGTCCACAAGAAGCTGACATTCTAGTTGAAGAAAAGAGCTATTCAGACAAAACAATGAGTATAAATGGCAGTATCTATATGTATTTGTCCTCAATGCATAATGATGTAATAAACTGTTAAATTATGTAAGGAAAAATCATTTGGAAAACAGATTCATATAGAGCAATGTCTTTGCTGTGCTGTAATGAAGGGGAAAGGGAAAGGCACATTTACTGAAAGCCTACTATGTACCAGGCATTCTCACCTCACAACACTGCGTTATTATTTCCATTCTACAGAAAAGAAAATTCAGACTCAGAGAAGTTTAGCAACTTGCCCAAGATTATTCAGTTAATAGGTGGAGAAAATGTCTGCCTGATGCTAAAGGCCAGGCACGTTCTCCCCATGGCTGTAGAGGAAATTCTCATGAAACCCGTTTATCTGGTCACAGAGGGGAGCACGGGGCCCTCCAGCTGGGAGCAAACAGGCCTGCAGACGGCACAAGAAGGATGGGCTCCAGCCCTAGCAGGAGAGATTGTCTTTGACATGACTATGAAGGTGGTCCAGCATCATCTGAGATTTCCGGGAAGAGACACAGTCACCTTTTCTACGAGTCTTTTGAAGATGGCATTTTGAAAAGTGCATCTTTGTTGCGTCTCCTTATAGACAAGAGGGCAAATGAACAAACCTTTCAATGTCTCCTCTATCCAATGAATCTCTGACTATGAGTTTCCTTCCCAAGACGCTGAGGTCCAGATGTTTAAAGAGCCACTTCCCTTAGTGCCTACAGGATAACGCATGCAAATAAGTTCTGCCAGCATCTACGTGCGAGAGTGATGAGTCCCCCCGCCCCTGCCTCACTGGAGGGCATAAATGGGTAATTGGAGGCCTGGTTTGTGGGCTGAGGTCACACTTTTCTGCCAGTGGAGATTCAGACACCACAGGCATAAGCTGTCCCCTTTAAGACTTTTACTTTCCGGATAGTGGCTAAAATGGGAAAGAACACCCTGTTCCAAGAAGTAGAAAGCAAAAGAAACACAGACTTCCTTGCCCCTGGTACTCTGACCTATGAGTCTACTCTCCACACATCTCTAGTTTTAGCCCCAAAGAAAAGGTCTAAGTCATACCCATACCTCTTCTTGGGCTTAAAGCAGATGGGATCTTTTGGGTTCACAAATTGAACTCTGTGGTGGGCTTGGGCCTGCAGCCTCCATGGAAATGAGAAGAGGAGAAGGAGGAGGGGGAATCCAGTATCAGCCAAGCCTGATTCTCTCCCACTGAAGTCAGGACATGAAGGCAACAGCTGGATGCAGCCTCACTGGGGCTCTGTGAGTCCCAGGTCCAAGAATTGCATCCTATGACAAAAATTGGGACCTTCCTCTGGGAAATCTTAGAACGGCATTTGTCCTCTAGATCGGAATGGAAGTCCTTGAAAGCAAGAAGACTGGGAGTCTTATGATATTTTGGTTGAATTATAAGCAGTGACTAGAGTGTGCAGTGTATACTCGGAGCACACCCCTTTCTCTTCTAACAAATGATGCATCCTTGGTCTACCCCCACCTACCCGCCTCACAAGGACTAAAAAGGGTTTGCTTCACCTTTATTTTGAAAGGTGTTTTCAGTCAAGTCCAAGATATGGTGCTAGGTGATCTATTGGCCAGTCTCTTAAAATACAAGGTCAAGAAACGTTCCGTCAAATATGCCATTAACACAAGTGCCCTGAGACAAATCGCTCCAAAGTAGAGGTATTTCCTTGCATGTAAAATAGAGATACAATACCCCATGCCTGTCTTGATAATTTAGCCAGTAACATTCCAAACCCAATTCAAGAGCAAAAGTTTTACATCTCCTCCCAAATGAGTGTCTACATTCAGCTCTGGCTCCTGGGGTCAAGTTATTGAAGAGGATTAGAGGCATTTAGAAGATGAAGACTCTTCCCTGTTTTGTTTTGTTTTGTTTTCCCCAAAGGTTGGTCTCACATTCA